TTCGTCGCAGAGCCGAGGAGCTTAGGAACTGTCTCTTGAGCAAGAGACGGTAAGGATTGGGAGACGTGTAGATCTCGCTCGCCCATGAATTCAAAGGCACGCAAATATTAAAATGTGCACAGTTAAATGTTGGTATGATGTGGGTATTGCAACGACGCTCAAGAGTTGAATATGGGGTTCGAATAGCGCGATCTGAGACAGAGGTTCCAACGCGGGTCAGCTGAAAAGCGAGAGGACATGGGATGAAATGGACCAGCTAGAATGATTGTCGGCACCATCGCGCAAGTACCGACTACGCTCGACTAAGTGTCTCGAGTGAGATATGCTGAAATCAGGTGGAATACGCCTTAGGGTCATTCGTACAGTAGCGTTAGAATAGGCGGCGTTTGCATTGTCGCGAGCATGTGGGAGTGCTGTTGCACGAGGAACTCTCAACTCGATGAATAAATGACACGAGACGCTATGCTGTGAGATTGAAACTTGACGGTGACGAGTTCGGAAAGCGATACATCGAGGCCTAGTGAAGGGAGGGAGGCTATTCATGGTTGTTGATAATAGTGAATCTCAGTGAGAGCTGCACAGGGAACTTGTGTAGAACATGGGCGTGAACGGAGACTCGTAAGGGAGGGCGCGAGTGTAGGCTTCTCCGGGGACACCTGCACACAATCTTCGATCCTTGGCTCAACGTATAACAAACTATACTGTTGTGTTTATCATGGCTCCTAAGACCAAGGCCGATCGCGAGTGCGTCGGCGGGAGCCAATCCTTACCAACTTTCATGCCCACCATTCTCTCCTCGATGGTCAGCTTTCTTGCCAGAAGAGCTCTCGAGTTGGTGAATAGCAGGGTTTGATATTTTATTACAATCTCAGCGTATAATATGGACGTACCGAAAAGACCGTATGATAACAATGAAATGAATTTGCATGTTCATGGATCTAGTTTGCTACCGAGAACGCGGGCGCAGATCGTACCAAAAAGCTGGAGCCATGTAAGGAAACCACAATCACTGCCACAAGCCATGCGGGAGACCTCAGGAGATCGTAGACGCCCTTTACTCGAGGTGTCATGGGATAAGCGATGACTGCAGAAAAGGTTGCTGGAGGCACATCAAAGTGAACTCACTACGGAAAGATCACACAAAGACATTTTTTCTCAGTCAGTCGGGACAAACTCTGAGCACGCCCTGACTGGTAAGATACAACTCTGAGGATATTATATGGAAAATCAGGTGCGAGAAACTACAAACAGGAGCGGCTTGAAAACGCTAAAAATAAAGTTGAAAGTAATTCCCCTCTAATCGCATTGAAAAAATTTCGTTCTGGTCAGTTGATCGAGACTGCTGTCGGACATGTCGTCGTTGCGTTGAATATGAACAGGAACTTCGCCATAAAAACCTTAAAGTGAGCCATCCAAAATCCACCGCAGGCTCGTATACATTTCTAGTAGGCCGAGGTCACGCAAGAAAGCGATAGACGGAAACATGGGAGCACCATCATGGGTCGCCTCGAGGAAGTGAGAGAAAGCGCCTTCATCGGTGAGGAGTAACAACGACAATCTGAACCACGACTATAACGCTCAGCTCGACGACCTTCATATAACCCCCATATTGCCACGTCTCCCATGATGCGTTCATGCGCAGCATTCGCTCTCCTTGCCCCGGCAGTATTCTCTTCGAGTAAAGACATTGCCTGCATCAGAATCGTCATGAAATTTCTCAGACGTTCGGGTGACAGAAAGTGAACTCCTTATTGCGAGTGCTGTGAAACTGCATTATGTGATTCGAGGAATAAATCGACAAATTGCCAAGAGACGGCATCTGCTCATAGGCGTAACCCCACTGGCGCATCCGTTAAGGTTCGAAAGTGTCCTCCCCAGGTCGCCCCTCCGCTGGTGGTCAAGTCAGACCACTCGGATGTAGTTGACCGAGACCGGGGAAAGTACATCGCTGCAAGTGTGGGCTTCATTTGCTGCGTTCAGGCTTTGGTACGTGTCCTACGCTGACTTCTGTCATATGCTCTACACGAGCGGTGTTAATTGGATGACTATGGAACAGATGAAGGGCGCATTCAGGTGGGGATAGAGGTAACTTATCAGGTTCTCAAAGTGGTACGTTCAGAGGCGTTGATCTGAATCAATCGGGCGGCCTCCATCTCACTGAGTTAGCACAAGCCATCGCTGCCACTGACCATGATTGCAAGCAACTCTTGAAAGGTACCATCCCCCCTGATGAGTTTCTAGAAAGGGTAAGTTCTACTAAAGCTGGCTTTCTCTATGTCATACATGTAAGGTCCTTGCAGCGAGCGAGACGGTGTCAATTACGCCTCGTCGAAGTACGTACGAGTCACATCCTGTCACACTGGTAGAGCAGATCGAATCGCTCAGAAAACACAACTGACATTTACTCTAACTAAGCTGATGTATCCCATGTGCTTACGCATTTTAACAGAACGTCTTTGCCCTATATTGTTTGGTGGAGTCTTACTTTTAGGGAAGTATGTGAACCACTAGTTTGAATGCTTGTATGTGGGCTATGCTGGAGGACTCGCTCCTACGATCTAATGACCTCATACATGCTTACTGTCCATCTGTGCACCAAAAATCATCGCATAGTGCATTTTCGACACTTCCGTGGCGTTACTTTCATGGACAATCGGAATACAGTGCGCCGGACTCTATCTCCTCTGATGAGCAACTTCAAGTTTTCGAGCTTCACCGTGAAGCTTGTTTCGGTCGTTGGACATAGCCCCGCGGTGAAGAGTGGACCCTGTCGGGAGGGAATAAGATGGCCCGGTCTGCTCCTTCTGTGCGTTCCTCAGCGTTTCGGGCTAGTAGCACATCGGTATCAAGTCTAACTCAACGGCGACGGCATTCGACTTTAACCTGACACACACACCGTGAAGCTATTTTGTTATTGTTGAGGAGTTTGTCGTCAGGTCTCGGGTTTTATGCCCTCCCTCAGAGAGAACCCTCATATCAAAGTCACATATTGAAATATGTGCACATTATTTTCACATATTTTTTGCAGTTTCAGAAAAGACGTAGTTCCCGATGAACATAATTTCGAGTGCGGAAAGTGGTCTAACTTTAACAGCAGTGACACTTGAGTTTCCAAAGCGCGTGGTATTTCTGGATGCTTCCATCGACTGAAGTCTGGCAGTATGGAACTAATTGTTCATCAATTTCACAGGACTTATGGGTGGGTCTTTACGTCATTACTAGCAACTCAAACCAGTAGAGTGTACAGAGAAACAGGATGTGAACGTCGCTTGAATAGCTCTTCATCGCAAGCAGTACATTTTCACCGGGAAGAGATCCTAACCAGGAGAACACTGAGAGAAGCAATTCACCCCACACCTTACGTCTGGCCAGTGGGGCTGTATCATTTCCAGCACTAAGCTCAGCCCTGCTCGTGCGAACAACGTCTTGTACTGG